TTTAAAATAGCTTAAAACATTTAAAAAAATTGTAAATACATCTTTAAAAATTGCAAAATTGTGTGTATGTATACGTGTAAAATAATTAACTTCATTTGCATTACTGTTTTTTATTAATGTTGTGTACATCGTAGGTCTTTCGTGGCAGTATCATATTTCTCATACAAAACAATTGAAATTTCTTTTATTATTTTACATTTCTACTTTGTATTCTAAACGTCTTTGAACTCAGATATTATATTTTTTATTTAACAAAATGCAGAGGAAAAATGGAAATATTTCAGTTATTAAAAAATTATAATTTTTTAATGCATCAAAAGAAAACAGAGCTGCTTAGATTCACATTCTTGAAGAATGACCTCTTCATGAAAAATAATAATTTGAAGAAACTTGCTGAAAAGACCCTAATTTATTTAAGAAGTAAAAATTGTCATCTTTCACACAAAAAAAGCAATTAAAAAAAAAACAAATATATATAATTTTTAGTTGGAAAATTATTTATTTTATATTACAACAATATGAAATAATATTAGTAAAAAAATTTTATAATATTATAAGAAATTCTTTAGAAGAAAAGATTTAAAAAAACTGTTATTTTTATCGGCATGTTGTATGTCATTTACATTGCTCATTGTTAATGTCACCTTACTATCCAAAGCTTTGCTATAAAACATTTTAGTAATTGTAAAAATCATTCAATTCCTTACCGGGTTTCAACTTGTCATGTGCTTCTTGTTAACACGGTTTGCACTGTGGGTTCTTCATGAAACGCTCGCGACTTCACCTACTTTAAGAATCGCAATAAACTAACAAAAATAGTTATCATCGTCTGTATATCCTCACTACACCAACTTCTTTAGATGAGGGTCTTTGATCACCTCTGTAATCTATCGCAATCAACAGTTACTTGAAATTTTAACTATTGAAAAATCCATGATGCGGATGAAGAGTTAAAAAATAAATTTATGTAAATAAATATAAATGTGTGTACAATACAAACATTTATAAATTAATAATTATTAAGAAAATCAAGTTAATTAATTTAATAGTTTTTCGAATATTTAAATTAAATTTTTTATAAATATAATTATCTTAATAAATAAATAAGTAAAGGACTCTTATTCTAAAATATAAATAGAAACTAAAAAGACAAATGAAGAGTCAAACATTAAAATTTCTTTAATCGCGTAGTCAAAAGGTAAAATGAAATAATATAACATGACAGGAAAGCGAGAATAAATTCGAAGATATAAAAATATACATTTATATAAAAAACAAGAACAGACTTAATACAAAAATAAATAACCGTAATCATAAAATCTATAAAACTTTATATGTTTCGACTCGTGGATTGAGTCTTCCTCAGAAGTAACAGACAAAAAACCATGGTACAGATAAATCATTGACGAAATAAAAATGCATCCGTCATCAAGGTAAGGAATTCATTATAAACGATTGGTAGATCGATAATAAATCTATAAAAGAATACGACATTACCTTTTTAATATATAAATGATTAACAAAAACTAAAATTTTAAGTTTCCAAGCCTTAATAAATGGATACATCAGCACACGTTTATCATATAACAGGTTGTCAAGCTTGTCGAAATACATAATAAATCTGTTAGACGACGACACGAAAGCAGAAATTTAACACGTCTGTACGATACAAAAATTAGCTATGATCTAAAAAGGTAGCAGCACAGCAAAGTCAAATTTTGTTTATCAACGGAATGTATGTCTCATGAAGGTTTTCAATGTCTGTTTGCAAATTTAAACTGTTCTTCTGTTTTTTAATGTTAATCATTTCAGACACTATGCGTTTTCTGTAATTAGATTCTTCATCAAGAATTTCTACTTTATTCCATCGAAAGTCATGGCCATGCTGCAACCTATGTTCGGTAATCGCTGAACGAGTTGTCGTGTTACATTTAATAATATGGTTACGATGTTCAGATATTCTCGTTTTTAATTGTCTACTTGTTTGGCCGACGTAAGACGCATCACAATCATTACATGAAATTTTATAAACTACGTTGTTTCTAGCGTTTTTCAAGAGGGAATCTTTTTGTACTTTAACATATTTACTCATTTTATTCGGGCTACGAAAAGAAACTCTGATATCATTATTATGAAATCTTTTAAATTTTTCCGTGTGACACGGAACAAAAGGTACAGTAAGCCAAGAAACAGACTTTGAATTGTTTTGAGTATTAGTAGGTTGGTCATTGACAATAAATTTATTTTTTAACAAATATTTTAACCGTTGATTAATGGTATTAAAAATGAAATTTAAGGTAATATAATTATCTTATTAATTGGATAATACCAAAATAGATTTTACTAATATTTTAGAGAAAAGATGTAATGTATTATAGTATGCATGTACACTGAACATATACTTATTTCATTATTGCGAAATTAAGATATGGCCAACAAAATATATGACATATATTGATTATGCTGAATGAATAAAGTTTATTTTCATACCTTTACCAGTAATTTTCAACATAAGTGCATTTAAAATACCATTTATTTTCATATCACTTTCTACAGACATGTTTAGTATTTGCGTTAATTTCCAAAATCTAATCTTTTAATTTGTCATTTTAAAATAAATTTATGTTTATCTATATGCACATAAGAGAGAGAGAGAGAGAGAGAGAGAGAGAGAGAGAGAGTGTGTTACAACTTATATAAGTTACAATAATAGTTATTTACAACTTATATAATGTTAGGAAGTGAGTCGAACGCATTGGATAATCACAGAAGCACCAGACATATGAATAATAATAGTTTTTAATTACGCACAGAATAACGTACATAGAGGCAACAGCCATAAGTGTAAGACGTGGAAAATAACATAGAAGAACAAATTATAGAGAAGCGTCATGAATCAAAAATAAAGAATTAAGAGGCGTTAATGACGCCGGATCTAGTACACAGTATGATCGGATGGTAATATCCAATATATAAGTTACAATAATAAAAATCTATGAATTTTTTAAAATTATACCTTTAATAATTAAGAGCCATTCTTCTTCTAAAGCATGTTTTAAACGAGCAAAATGATCATTTGAATTTTGTTTGCATGTAACTGGTGTTAAGTAAAAATAGGATTAAATAAAGTAGTAGTAAAAATATAGAAACACATAAATTGTTTTAACAAAAACATAATTTAGATCGATTTTTAAATTAAAAAGAATAGGATGGGATTACTCTTTTTTTTTATTGAGTATGTATGTGTTATCAGATGTTGATATTGAGAAGAGAAAAAGAAATCTTTTCACTTTTTTTATTCCTTATATTCATAATAAATAATACATATAATCGCGCGTAGTATATATATAATCTAAAATAATTTATAATTTATGATACTCAGAGAGATTGATTGATTGGTTGATCTTTATGAACTTCAATAGCTACAATGTGTGATACAATTTAATATAATGCCTATTTATTAATTATCCAAACGTTCAATATCTACAATCTCCATTTACTATTTTATGTATCAACATACAAACATTGTATTCAATTTTTTCCTTAATTGGCATAAATTGCAATGCCTCAAGCATGTCTTCAATTCTTGTTGTGTAATTGCACCGTGATAATATAATTCTCATTCCCTTATTTTGTAATTTCTGTAAATACTGCACATACACATTATAATCGTTTAAACTCAGTAATATAGACGAACAATATTCAAACGGAGAAATCGCTTTGTATAAAACACACCTCATGTATGGTGTCAAATTCATACCAATTCGACGAAATGCTCCCAATTTATATCCTATCTTTTTCCCTAGATAATTAACATGTGCGGTAAAATTTAAATTTTGATCTATAATGATACCTAAGTATTTAATTTCACTAATCATGACTTCTAATGCTATATTTTTTAATTTTACTTTTATATTACTTTATTTACATTTAATTTCAGTCTATTATTTTTTAACCATTCCTTAATTTTTTACATCTGTATATTAAGATTATCATTTATTTCTTGGCTTGAATGGCCTATTGTATATGATATATTAGTGCAACATCTGCGAATAATCTAATTTCACAATTGCCACAAACAACTCTCGTCAAGTTCTTTATATACAGTAAAAATAATAACGGTACTAATACTGATCCTTGTAAAACTCCCAGCTTGACAGCAATAGATACTGACAAAATTCCATTAAATTTAACTCTCTGTGTTCTGTTTTTTAAATAACTATTAAAGCAACTAATTACTACCCCTGTTGTATATATCCCATAACTTTCCATTTTCTTTAACAAAATATCTCTATCTACTAATTCAAATCCCTATTTTTTTAAATCTAAAAATACAACTCCTATCATCTTCCTTTCACCTGTACTTTTTTTCCAACTCGATATGACTCAAGGACAGTGAAAAAAAAATAGAAGAATTTCGATCTATAAATAAATTACCGATTTATGGGAAAATACTAGAAATATGATAATAGTTCACAGTCAATTAGTTAATTATTTGGAGGATGAATTATTGGCACTTTTCTAATAATTCATTATCCTCCAAATAATTAACTAATTGACTGTGAACTATTATCATATTTCTAGTATTTTCCCATAAATCGGTAATTTATTTATAGATCGAAATTCTTCTATTTTTTTTGTTCTTTTGTATTTTTGGTATAGAAATTATACCAATAGCTTCTTTCCACTCGTTTGGGAATATTTCCTCTTCTAAGGATCTATTCAGTACTTTACATAATTTTATACCTGCTACTGTTACTACCCTTTTCATTATCTTAACTTAATATAGATTTTATAGAATTATATAATTTTATATATAATTTATATAATTTTTTATTACATTTTTAATTTAAAAAATTGTAAGTTATAAAATACTACATATATGTACATATATATTCAGAAAAATATCTTACGTATCTTTTACGTTTACAAGTATTTGTAATTTGATATATACCGAATTTGGCTCTCTTTTGAATCCATGTATAATAGGTATATGAATTTTATGGAAAAATATTTGAGAGCGGAACATTTGAGAAGAACTTATTGGCAAAGCCAACCAACCATGGATCCAATATATCAGAAATGAATGGTAACATCAATCGATAAAATACTGGCCAGTATTCATTCAAAAAAGTTAAGGCAAGATTATCTAAAAATAAAATAATATCTAACAATGTATTTTAATTTACTCTCTTTAAACAACAAATAATGTAAAATTACAATATACATGTAATTATAAGTTTATAGATAATAATTACTTCTGTTTTGTAGTATATTTGCGAAAATAAGGAATATCACGCGTTATTTAAATAAGAGAAAATAAAATAAGATTTTAATTAGTAAAAAATAATGTATTTCTATATTGGAAAACAAACACTCTTCTAATTTTTCTTTTTATTTAAATTAGTAGATATTTTATTTTTTGATATTATGATTTGTAATATAATATGTAGAAAGCCGCACGAAATATTTTAAAATATATTTTTTATATTTAGATTTGTGAAAATAAATTCTTTGGAGAAAATCAACATTTTAACATACGATTTTTTCAATCATATAGGTATTTTTAGTTTACGGGATAGTACACTAATTTTTAATATTATCTGTCATTCTGCATACGATATTTGGTAATAGATATAACGAACATATCGCTTGTGAGTAAATAAAATTTGTTAAATTGAATAGAAATCTTTCTTATTAGTTTGCGATGGCAATAATTAATGAATAATTAATTAATAAAGATTTATGAACGTGTGTGTATTCGTGCGATTCAGCAAAAAAAACAAACTAATATTAAACACACATTAGCAGTTGTTGGAATCACTGAAATATAATACTACTGAAACGCGCGCGGACCCTTGCCTTTGTTAGCAGTGCGATCCAAGAGAGCGTTTCAAGTGGTATCCTTTTCGAAATTATACTGCGCATGTGTAGTAAACAGTAATGGGGCTCATACAGTTCATAGGCCTGTTCTTTTTCTCTGCACTGTTTACAGTGCAATAAATTGAAGCGAAACGGATATATGTTTGTTTCATTTCAACTTATTGCACTGTGTGCACCAGTTCAGACAGTGCAGGCAAAAAGAACAAATCTCATGACTATGTTGTACTAAAAGAAGGACAAGGATACCACTTGAGACCCTCTTTGTCGAATCATGAAATTAGCACCGCGCGAGTTCCAGTAATATTATATTTCAGTGGTTAAAACTCAACCTGTGCATGATACTGAACTGTCTCTTTTTCGTCGAAGGGCTGTGATCTAAAATTTATTACCAGCACTAAAAATCTATAGCTTATTTTACGTGCACTATATAGAATTTGAGGAAGCAAATATTGAAATACAGTCTAGTAAAATCTTATATTTACTATTGTAAATCCATACATATTCACAGATCTGGATTAATTAGTCTCTTAGTAAATTTTCCGCAAAAAAAAAGTAAAAGAATTTAATCCGTTCTACTTATTCACAAGCGATAATATTATGCTTATTTTATAAGACAATTTTTATATGTATAATACAAATCGTTAATTAGAACCTAAATAACTGATGATTCTTGATAAACTTTTAATAACATGATTTACATATTTACGATTAAGCAGTATATTTAGAAATAGCAAATAGGATATCTAAATAACACTGAAATATTTATATAGGTAATTAAATACATTACAAATATATTACGTATAAAATAGTATTAGGTCTACAAGTTTGCTCCCGCCGTTTTTACAGGTATAAAACTATCTATATGAAAACGGCGGGAGCAAACTTGTAGACCTAAATAGAATTACCTAAATAGAATTACCTATATCTAAATTAGTTTAATACTTACTGAGTTCTTTATTGCCTTCAAACAAATTATCAAAATACACTTTAAGTGTACCAATTGACGGAGCGATATGGAAATGTTCTACAATCCATGTATCGTTTATTACGTGTCCTGTTAAATCACACGTTCCTCTAACATCATGTGCTGTTGCATTCAAATGATCTATATAATACAAAAATTACAACAATGATATATTATAACATGGAATACTTTTTACAATAGAAGAATAATTTAAATAAAATGTTATAAAAATTGATATTTATAATAGTTTAAAACAATTTAAAAAATTGTAAATATATCTGCAAAAATTGCAAAATTGTATTATATGTATGTATGTACGTGTAAAATAATTAATCCTCCATCTGCATTGCTGTTGTTTATTAATGTCGATCGTAGGCCCTTCGTGGCAATATTCATATTTCTCATACAGAACAGTAAAAAATAGAAATTATTTTTACTGTTTTATATTTCTACTTTATATCCTAAACGTCTTTGAACTCACAATCAGATATTACATTTTTTATTTAACAAAATGCAGAGGGAAAATAGAAATATTTCAGTTATTAAAAAATTATAATTTTTTAAAGTGTCAAAAGAAAAAGAATTGCTTAGACTCGCGCACTCTTAAGAAACGACTTTACACGAAAAATAATAATTTAAAGAAGCTTGTTGGAAAGACCCCAGTTATTTGAGAACTAAAAAAATTATCACCTTTTCACACCAAAACAAAGCAATTAAAAAGAAACAAACACATTTAATTTGTAGGTGGAAAATTATTCATTTTATACTGCATTTTATATTACAACAATATGAAATAATATTAGTACAAAAAATTTTGTAATATTATAAGAAATTCTTTAGAAGAAAAAGATTTTAAAAAACTGTTATTTTTATCGGCATGTTGTACGTCATTTACATCGCTCATTGTCAGGTTGCCTTACTATCCAAAGCTTTACTATAAAACATTTTAGTTTCTCGTAATTGTAAAAATCGTTCAATTCCTTATCGGATCTCGACTTGTCACGTGCTTCTTGTTAACACGGTTTGCACCGTAAATTCTTCATGAAACGCTCGCGACTTCACCTACTTTAAGATTCGCAATAAAAACTAAAATAGTTATCATCGTCTGTATATCCTCACTACACCAATTTCTTGAGGATCTTTGATCACCTCCGTAACCTATTGCAATCAACAGCTACTTGAAATTTTAACCGTTGAAAAATCCATAATGCGGATGGAGAGTTAATAATAAGAAATAAATTTATAAATGTGTACAACACAAACATTTATAAATTAATAATTATTAGGAAAATCAAGTTAATTAATTTAATAGTTTGGCAAATATTTAAATTGAATTTTTTATAAATATCATATAATTATCTTATTAATAGGATAATACCAAAATAGGTTTTACTAATATTTTATAGAAAAGATACAATGTATTATAGTATACATGTACACTCTGAACATATACTTATTTCATTATTGCGAAATTGAGATATGACCAACAAAATATATGGCATATATTGTTTATGGTGAATGAATAGAGTTTATTATCATACCTTCACCAGCAACTTTCAACATAAGTGTATTTAGAGTACCATTTATTTTCACATCAGTTTCTAGAGTCAATTTCGGTATTATTGCGTCAATTTCCAGACGGAATACGTCATTAAGACGGTGTGGTCTCACATCAGGAAAATGCAATTTTGATAAACCGATGATAATGAGATTCGAAAAAATTAGTTCTGCTCGTATTTCATTAGAATTTAATTCAAATTTACCATTTTCGTAAACTAAGGGATCCAAAGGTGGAATATCAAATTCTGGAAGTCCTATCAAAATAAATCGATTAATAACAGTGACAGGGAGATAGTATCCATAATTTGAAAGTGATTAAAGACTTTAATGAAGCTCTTTTATTTGTTTTAAGCAAAATCTTTCAGTTTATGTCATTTTAAATTAAATTTATGTTAATTTATATGCATACAAATTATTTACAACTTTTATAAGTTACAAAAATACAAATTTATCTATTTTTAAAAATTATACCTTTAATAATTAATAGCCATCCTTCTTCTAAAGCTTGTTTTAAGCAAGCAGAATAATCATTTGAATCTCGTTTACATGTAACTGGTGCTGAGTAAAAATAAAACGAAATGAAGTAGAAATAAAAATTTAGAAATACATAGATTGTTTTAACAAAAACATAATTTAGAATAATTTTTAAATTAAAAAAAATAGGATGTAATTACTTTTTTATCGAGTATGATATGTGTCATCAGATGTTGAGAACAGAAATCATTTCACTGTTTTATTTCTTTTATACATATTATGTTTATACATATATATATATATACCTATATATAATAAATAATATATATACCATCTAAAATGATTCGTAATTTATGATACTCAGAGAGTGTGAGAGAGAAAAATTATGAAAATTCAAACTGTAACTCGTGAATGTGAGTGTAAATATTATCTTTTCTCTCTCTCTCTCTTTCTCTCTATTTATCTATCTATCTATCTATGTATCTATCTATCTATCTATCTCTTTCTCACTCACTCCTTTACACCAAAATATAAAGTAAACGTCTAATAAGAAAGAAATGTTTTTTTAATTGAATGATTAAAACAATTAAGAAGATTATAATTATTAGTCTTGTAGCGATTGTGTCGCCACGAATCTGTCAGCTAAATACGCGACGAGTCCTTGAGACACACGAATTTCGAACACACGTGCATGCTTTGCTCGTCACGAGACAAGGCATTTAAATCTGACAATTTCTCTTATCATTTTTTCATATCACTCACGCATTTAAAGCGAAATAGAACAATGGTACAACGCGTCTATGATCAGACATATGAAACTGCATTGTAAACAATCGCTGTAAAAGCGACAATCGCTATAAAACTTATAAAAATATTCAAACGATCGCTAAACAATATAATTTAAAATCCTGAGAATAATAACAACGGCAAATAATAACATGAGATGTAACAATATTTTGCATAAGAAGATTCGAGATAGTCATGACGTCATGAGCGACCGGACTCAAGAGTCGATCGGATACGAAATTACACATTCGAATAAGACATTGCGAGTTATTGTCAAGCGTTTTTCTTTGGTCTCGGTCCTTGAGTATACGTTTGTCAAAGATCAAGAACAAAGGTGTGTGTAAATTGAACAGAATCACTTCATTTTTTTTCTATCTTTTCCTCCTCACGAGCAATCACTGCTAATAAAAGTTGTAAGGTATTTGAGAAAAAGTTTTTCGGCTTATCATAAATTCGTTAAAAATATACTTTAAGGGCCACTTTCGCCAACTCCGATTAACTTAATCGGCCGATTAATCCATAGGAAAATTGACCAATCGCGTCTGTCGTTAAAACTAAATGATAAATACGATTGGTCAATCCTGCAAAGTTACTGGAATGGTTCAATTAACCGGAGTTTGATGAAAGTCGTTCTAATTCTATAAAATTATTGAGCTACTACAATAATAACTTTATACAATAAACAAGATTTATGTAAATAAAACAATTGATATATTCGGGGATTAGCCATAATATTCTATTTAAAAGATACATACGTACTAAAGTACATTCTCTAAAAAAAACTCACGAAGTTCAGTTTTTCTTGCCAAAGATAATCCAAATACTGCAATGCTGAATACACTAAAAATATTGAAAAACATTTTTTTTTATTTAATATATCCGCGAATAATATAATTGATTCTGAAAACTGAGTTATACTGGAATCTCTTAATAGTAAACCTCGGTACAGTATAAATCCCTTCCACACATATGATAGTAGAAGTAGTAATGGAATCGCGGCCTCCAATACGGTTTCGAATTTCATGATTTAGAAGTGGAATAGGCACAACTTCGTTCAGAGTCCGTATTCTATTATGAGATTCTAGAGTACATGTAATTTCAACTTACATTACTTAAGAATCTTATGGGTCAATTCTAATGTAAGCAGAATCGTAAGACTCGTAACTTGTTCTCGTAAAACTTTAAGAGTTTATGATCAGTATTCTAATTTTATGCGTTTACGTCGTAAGATTGTTAGTAAATATACGTACGACTGTTAATAAATATCTACAATTCCTTGTGAATCTTATGGCTAGTAAGAAGCTGTCTGCAAAAATGTTGTATAATAGTACATTGTGTAATAAATGTGTATTCGTTGTTTATTGTGCGACGCGGGCACGGGAGCGCACGAGCGAAGCGAGCGCGCTATAGACCTATAGTCTTCTTGACCACTGCGTTGCGTTATTTTTCATAATGTAAAGCGGGTTCTACAATGAGTTTTTAATCTATAGTCGTTAATCGGAAGTCTTAAGTTTTAATCTAAGTCGGTGACTTTAGGATTTTTCGCATCTACAATGAATCGCATAGTTGTATAGCGAATCGTTTGGAAAGACACTGAATACAATCAGTTTTGAAATTGAAAATCATTTATTTGTGTTGTATATTTAATAATAAACTGGTAATATAGTGATAGTGATGGATGATGAAGAAGTAATTATAGTCATTATGCTGATGCAAATGACATATTCTTATTCTCAATGGGAGTATAACCTGAAAAACATGGCTACCGAAGCTACATGATTGGTCAGTCGTAAGAAAATTAGTGGTTGGTATTTTAAATGTTGGCTGTTGGCCAACCTTACGGATTCACCGATTACGACTCACAGATAGCCCTTCCGACTCACCGATAGCGTCTTATGACTAAGTAAAGACTTCCGATTACCGACTAAAGACTCATTGTAGAACCCGCTTAACGCTTTTGCGTGGGGTTAGAGAAATAACTCAACGGCTTGAGGTATTGGCTATTTACCGCACGCAAAAGCGTTGCGGTATAGGGCATTACGTGCACGCGCGTGAGGAAAAAATATAAGCATTTAAAAAAGTTTTTATAGATCTTACGAGAATATGTTGCGAGCGTTACGATCCTTCTGTTTTAAATCTAGATATAAGTATCATATTTATCGTAAGATCTAATAGTGTAGACATAAAAAATAAAAAATTCATGATAAAATCTTCTTTTATGCAAATACTTCTTTGTTGTTTGTTTGATATCAGTGTGTCTGCATATGTAAACGTATATAAAGAAGAAAAAAATTATTTATAATTTAATTATTTATAATTTAAATTATTTATAAACTAATTGTAATAATTTATTTATGTGCTGTATTGATAATGTTAAAGATAAAGTAAATTTATATCTTTTTATATAGAATTCTATATAAATTATTTTTTTGTAAAGAGGAAAATAGCAAATTTCTAAACGTGAGAATTTATTAATATATATAAATAAAATAAAATTTGTTTTTAATTATTATAATTTTTGTGTTAAGATTTAGGTAAATTTCATCTAACAGAAATACATTTATTATTTCGCTATGAGTTTAACTCTTTCGTAATAGAACAGTAGTAATCAACTATAATATTATGTAAAGATATGAAGTTGATAGAAAAAAAGATTATTATCTTCATTGTTTTTTCGTTACACGTGTAGTATTTTTTAATCAATAATAATTTATAAGAGTCAAAGTCAAATAATAATGAACATTTTTTAAACGTTTTCTTCTATAATATTTTGAATTAGAAAGAAACATTTCTTGTGAATACGTTATACTGATTATTTTTGGGGATTAATTATAATATCTAGGAAGGCAAAAACCAGAAAAAGGAGAAATAATTTAACATTGCATTTAAAATATATATTTATTTTGCTCACAAACAATATTTTAAAAATAAAGTTTAATTTATATAAAATCTTAGAGAAATAACATGTACATGTTTGCGTTCAAAATTATGATCTTTTTTTAAATTTTGGAAAATTTGCATTTCACTGACATGTAATAAATATATAAATTTTATGGAAATACTGTTGAGAAGGAAATTTTCGAGAAGAATTTATTTGTAATATCAACCATAAACGGTTGCAATCCATCGATCATAAATGGCAATGATACTCGATAAAGCATTGGCCAGAATTCATTTACAAAAGATATAATAATATCAACTGAAAATAAAAATTATCGTATATAAAATGACAATATATAAATCTTCCAAAAAAATCATTCGAAAGGTAAATGTAAGATTACAACATATAAGTGCAATTGTAATTAATTTTGTATTGTAAAATTTTATGATTTGTAACTAAAAATATTGTGGTAAAAAATTATAAAATATGATTTAAATTTATAAAATATGTACTTCTAATCATTATCTCCTTTTAAATCAATTATTGTCTTGTTATTAAAATTTGAACAATGTATAGCTATATCAATTGGAGTTGGAAAATATTATTGTCAAACACGATCAATGATAATGTGATACAGGATTCTTATAAATATGAGGAAAAAATCAGTTTCATTAGTTGACGGGCACTATATAGATGTTACAAATTACGGGTTATTAATATTTATTCAATTATTCGAAATAAACTTCTATCAAATAATAAGAGAATTTTGCATGTAATAAAAGAATTTATACTTATTGTTAAATTGGAAATCAGATATGAGCCTCCGTTTCAATAATTTAATTCTCATTTTAACTTCATTAGACAATACAATAAATAAATAGAATTGCTTCTGAATTATTTCAATATTTACCAAATGCTTTCTTGTCGTTAACTGCATCATTATAGTATAATTTGAATTTTCCAATTGGCATAACGAGATGGATGTATTCTACAATCCATGTATCGTTTACTACATGTCCTGTTAAATTTGCAGCTGTTCTGATATCTTCCGCGGTTACATTATAATATCCTATTATATAAATTAATTTAGTTATCAAAGTACAAAATACTTTTTAATAAAATAGTAATGATTAAAAAATAATGATTATTTTTTTAAATTGTTACATTTATAAAAAACAATAATTATTATTTTCATGTTAAAAACGAAATTATACACACTATAAACATACATAGTTATATATGTACTATGTACATAAGTATATTGTTAAATTTATGAACCTGTTAAAATTGTAATAATTAGCTAATTATAATATTATAATAAAATTTTGCTAATTTCTTAAAGAAAAACAAATCAATATATAAGTTTTATAAATATAGTATACTAAAAATGTATTAACTTTGTTCCTTTGTTTATTTAAATCGTATATTATAGAGATTAGTACTTTTTACTATCATACCTTCATTAGCGAGTCTGAATCCGCTTAAATTACCATCTGCTCTTATGTCACCTTTTACAAATAATTTCGGTATGTTTCCTTTAACTTCCAAATAGAAAAAGTCATCAAGAAAATTCGTTCTTATACTTAAAAACTGAATTTTTGATAGACCAATTATAGTAACATTTGAGAAAATTACTTGGTAGTGTACGTCTCCTGAATTAATTACAAATTTTCCGTATTTGTAAAATAACGGATCTAAAGGAGGGAAGTCAAATTCTGGAAGTCCTATCAAAAGATAAATAAATTAATATTAATATCCGTATTTTTAAGTTACTTGATTAGAACAATTTTTATTCTTTTTAACTTTTTTAAATATAAGATTTTATCGAGTTATGTAAATTTGTATACGTACATACATTGTATAAAAAAAGAACTATTATTATAAATAGAAATATTATAAAAAACCAATATAATACAAACAATAATTAATTAATTTATACAGCTATATGGATAAATCAAATGTGTAAATGAAGAGTCAATACGGTTGCAGCTACTCTCTCTCTCTCTCTCAGTGCCTAATTTATTATAAATTCTAAATTACTTATATTTTTTAGATATATAAGTTGCACACTGCTTATTGTCTAATTTGAAACGCAAACATAAATTAAACGCTGTATATCTTTCTATAAATTTCAATGAATTATTATTATTATTCTTTTTATTATTGTCATTATTATTATTATTATTTAAAATGCTGAATTATATTCTATAAAATTTAATGCTGCAATTAAAAAGGATTGTTGATAAAAATGTTAAAAATTACATCCAAAAATGTAAGCAACGTTTTTTCGGAGTAGAATTAAAACGAGTATTTTATTCTAAAAATTATAATTTTACGAAAAAATTGAAAAACAAAAATAGATTATATTAGAAAGAAAAAAGTATTCTTTATATAATACAATTGAGAACATCGTAACATCTAAATTAAAGTTCACCGACTAAAATTATTCTTCGAATTTAAAAATATTTGCTGAAGTCGAGGATTAAAATGTTTATTAGCATTATTATTGACGATTAATTTATATATCAAATTTGATTATTTCAATTACAACTTTTAATTAAATTCACACACAAGTTTGACAATAACTAAAAGATGTTTTATAGTTTATATATTGGTATTATGAAGTCTATATTATACATAGGTATTATAACCAATTTAGAATCGATCATATTGGCTTCTCTTTGTTATTTATTTGATTTATACATAATTTGATTCACGCACGCACGCGCGCGCGCACACACACACACACACACACACTCTATATTAATGTTGATAAATTTCAGAAACTTTTCTTATGTAGTAATATAATTATAAGTAGAAATCAATATATTTTTTATTTGATATAAAATATATAAGCTAGAATAGAACTTCTAAATTGTTACAAAATATACCTGCTACAAATTGTGGCCATGCATCTTCCACAGATTGTCTTAAACAAGCTGAATAATCATTTGAATCTCGCTTGCATGGGGTTACAGCTAAGTAGAAGTAGAAATAAAATAAAGTTTTATATATATATATATATATGTGTACAGGGTCATCCATTAAGAGTTTACATTTCAAAACTTTGCGGCATTTTGTAATTGTTATAGATGGAGTTGTCACATTTTACAGTTGTCGATTAGAAACTATGCCGTTAATAATAATTAATCCATATTCACTTAAGCAACTCATAGAAATAGTCAAAACTCACTACAAACACGGTGAAAATTTCCCAGAGAAGTTCCGTGGACGTGTCATTTCGCGTAACGTGGAGACTTTAATAGGACGCTCAGATCATGCGATTTGACACCTGGATATGTTCCTTTGCGATTATGTGAAGGATAAGATTTACATAAATAATACGCAAACGATTCAGGTGTTCAAAAATAATATTCGAACTGAGGGCGAAATTGAGCCACAATTTTGCGAAAATGTGAAACCAAATATTTTCTTTAAAAAATGAGCGTTTGTAAGAAAATGGCCAATATTACGACATTTGGCTAATATTGTGTTCCACGTTTGATCACATAATGTGTACTTTAGAATAAATATAATTCAACGTTTTCAAACTTTTTTATTATTTAAAAATGAAACTTCTTAATGAAAGACCCTGTATATGTTATTCAAATATTTATGTTAAGAATATGAAAAGAAAAAGCTCCTTATTTATTTATTTTTATTACAATAAATAATGTGCATATTTACAATTTGCGATACTTAAGAAATGTAGAAAAAAATGTAAATGTATATTATTACTTGCTTAAAACAATATAAAATAACATTTAATAAGGAAGAATTATTTATTTGTAACAGAACGATTAATAAATACAAAAGCTATACAATTTTTCACATGATTTAGCAAAAATAATTTTTTTGTTTATTGTATACGTTAAAAATTTCTCAATAATTTGATACTACTTTTATGCAATTGATTTTGTATATGAACGATGCGTTTAAATAAAGTAATTGTTGTATATATTTAGATTAAAAAACCGTATAATAATAGAAGAATATATTAAAAAATTATTAAAAAACACTTACGAAGTTCAGATTTTTTAGTTAAGCACAATGAAAATATTACACTGAATATACAGAGCACGTAGAGCAACATGTTCTCTGTTTAACGCACCAATGAATAATACGATTGATTCTGAAAACAGAATTTTCCACTTTAACTCTACAGAAACATTATACTGAGAATGAATGACAATGATTTATGTAGACATGTAAAAACTAGAAATATTAACAATCAAATTATTCTTAAATTAATGTTACGTTGAACATATGTAAATAACTCCTTAAATTTCATCTATCAAAAAAAACATATCTTCAAGGCTATAGGAGTCCACCGCTGGTTGTTAGGTTGCGCAATAAATTATAAATCTTGTAATATCAAATCTCGTACGTTTCGACTTTATTTTTAAGTCGAAACGATTATTGTGCTGAGGATGACTTAAAAATAAAGTCGAAACGTACGAGATTTGATATTACAAGATTTATAATTTATTGCGCAACCTAACAACCAGAGGTGGACTCCTATAGCTTTGAAGACATGTTTTTTTTTATATTAGAAATATTAATTTCTGAGATTTAATTTTAATCTTTTTTATGCAAACGTTTCTATTTATTTATATGTCATTAGAATATTTGAGTGCGTATTTTTATGTGTATAATAAATTTTCAATAACAAACTTGCATTGTTTCATAAGATACGTATTCTGTAATGTAATAATGGTACAAATTATTGTAAATATTAATAGAAGGTAGGTTTATATAATTTTTTACATAATTCTCTAGAAAAATTATATGTATGTATTTTTTAATGAAAATATGTACAAATTATTATTTTATGAAGAAAAATCGTACATTTCAACAATTGAGGAGAAATACAAAAATAAAATTGTATTTACTAAGTTTAAATGTGATTTTCTAAAATGTGCGTGAACTATAATTCATCATTATCGAATTTATCTATCTTGAGAATAAATCAGGCAGACTGATAAATCAGAGCTACTGCATGATCTTTCGAATCTACTTAGATATTGGCTGCGTTCAGCAGAAAAAGCAGCTTATGTTGCGTGTCGCGTTGCGCATCGCGCCGATTTGCTGAATCATAATGGCGGTTTGTAACAAAACAAGTATACAAATAAAGCAATGAGTGTGTAAATGACAAATGTATTCTTCGATTTAGCCTATTGCTATTCCAAAGATCTACATACATCCGAAAAATCTGTGATCTATAGTGTTAAATCACTGGAATCTATTTTTATTTATAGTGAATCAATTTTTATTTATATATAGACTTTATAGAGAAATAATAAAAAAAAATTACTGCTACTAAAGTATAATTTAGGGAGGATCCCGATTGCCTACAAAACGATTGCTTACAACTTCGTTTGCACACAGCAATATTGCACTCAGCGTATTGCACGACATTATTGCACACAGCACATTGCACATACGGCATTATTGTATACAGCATATTGCACATATGACAATATTGCACACGACGTACTACGCTGTGTGCAATAATCCTTTGTGCAAACGAGGCAATCGTTTTATGGCCAAACGGGAGTTCTCCATATTTGTGTACAGAACAATAATTTTTAAAAATTAATGAAAATAGAACAATAATTTTATTATTTTAATATCAAAAATTTATGTATGCAATATAAATATACATTTCTATACATGTAAAATCGTTAAATTTGTCTATTAAAATTATAATAAATAATTATATTTATCAGATTATAATATCTTCTTTAATTTCTAATAATAAACATAATTTTATTAAAGATAAATTATATATATTAATTTTTTATTACAATATTATACAAATAATTATTTGAATACTATTATATAATTTTGAACTTAACTCTTGAGTAGTAGAAAAACATTGTTATCTGTTACGTACATGCATATAAGAAGTATATATAAAAAAGAATGTGTGCGCGTGATCATTAATTACATTTTTATTCCACGTGTAGTAATTTTTATCATTAATGATTTATGAGAGATAAAGTGTGAAGATGAAATTATATTATTTAAAAAATTTTGTTTTTTTAATTTTTTAAAAATGTACATAGATCAATACTTCAAATATAAATAAGATTTTTTGTGTGAAAAATACCAATCAACTTTGGTAGATGTACTTCCTCTGATTATGAGTAACAGGAAAGAAGCAGTTGCTGCTATAATTGTTATTACCATCTCTAAATAAACAATATCGTTGTACAATGCATTGTTTATACGTTGACTAGAATTGTGTTAATTCTTGCGAATAAAAATGTTAAAGCAAGTGTAAAAGCCTCCGAAATTTTAAATTGCGTTCACAGTTCGGAAAACAGATGCTGTCAAAGGTGTAAGTATTTGGTTACAAATTTTGATGATAATAATCTATTATACTACATATTATATTATACTATTAAACTATAATAAATTCAGATAATAAAATCATTCGAAAATAAAATTTAATAACAAGAATGTATTTTAAAAAAAGTAAAATAATGTAAAGCTATACGTCCAGACTATCGAGCTGAAACGCGAACCTCGAGCCGAGCCGAGCCGCGAGCCGCGAGCCTCAAGCCGAACAGAACAAACGAGAACAGCAGCTATTTTTGTATTATTGTCCATTGTATATGCGAGTATACTTAATTATATAAAAAAACAGGTAATTAAAATCACGTACAATATGAATAGCTTATGACGCTCGTGAAATTTGGTTAAAGCTCGATTTGATTTCAACTCAAAGTTCAGCTCGATAATTTCAGTTCGAAGCTCATCAGCTCGAGGCTCGGCTCGGCTCGGCTCAGCTTGAGATTCGGCTCGCATTTCGGCTCGATAGTCTGGACGCAGCTTTAAGAAAAGACAATATAAGTAATTATAGGTAATAATAGCTATATAAATACTAACTTTTGATGATTTTATATGAAAAAATAAGCATAGAAGAATATTAATAAAATGAAAAAGCGATTATAATGAGATATCTGTTATTAAGTATAGTATGAATAGTACTATATCTAGTTCTTTACTACTTCATATATTCTTAAAGAATCTCTATTTTAATCTATAACTTAATCTATAATAGTGAAATCAGTAGCATATATCTATGCATATAATGCATGTAAACAGGAATAATATGATTATTTATAAGAGGTAAAGACAAATAAAGATAACATTCTTCAAATATTTTTTTTCTTTTTTTTCTTAAGTGTGATTTAGAAATAGGATGTTGATTATTCGTGTGTTTTAGGTATGATGTAGGAATAAAAACTCTAATATATAGTAAAAATAATTTTATATTTTATATATAATTGTTAGATTAATACATCAAATCATTTATTTATTTATTTTGCTTAATTGTTCAAATAATTGTTCAAAAACAAAGTTTACGTTAAAGAATTATAAAATTATCTATTTTTACATTTAAAAAATTTACTATGTTTTCAATTTTATGAAAATTTTAATATTTTGTTAAAGTATAATGAATACGTGAATTTTACGAGAATATTTTTGAAGAAAAATCTTTTTGAAGATAAGCGATTACACGAATTTTATATACACCTATTGAATAAATTATGAATTTTACATTTCATATTATTATTATTTGATATGATCGTGATCAAAATTTATTTGAATGCAGCAACATTATTTGTGCAAATGGAAATTTATATATTTATTATTAATATACATAGGTATTTTAGAAAAAAATAAGTTTCTTTAAATTGTTTCTCAATATAAAAATAATATCTACAAAATAAATAAAAATTCCTTATCTAATTTCCAATAATGATAAATTAAAGAATTAAAAAATCTCTTTTGTTTGATATATTAAAAAATATTTCAAAATATAAATATAATAAAAAATTAATTTAGTAGTTGTCTTTAATTCTAAAGCTACGTACACACAAGCAATAGAATTTTACAACTGTAACGTTGCGTAGTACTATTGTATCACGAGTGCAATACCACGAAAAAAGGCATCTACAATGAGATTTTAAGGCATAAAATTTAAGTTTGAAGCCTCTAACTATAAGTAATTAAGTCGAGGGAGTAATCACTTAATGTAATCGTGGGATGGAGTCCTTGAAATCACTATAACAATTATATGAAATTCCGATATATAATCCGATAATTACATACGCAAGTACAAAAAATAATTGTGTAATATTAGATAAAATCTTAAGCAATGTGAGAAATTGGCTCAATGATAAATAAACATAAATAGAAATGCATATACAGCCACAACGCAAGATGTCATACGCGTCATATTATATATTTAAAAAGAAGAAGACAAAAACAAACGTTTCGGTTAAGTTATGACCATCATTAGTTCATAAAAATTAATAGCATACCACATATAAAAGAATTGTTAGATGTAATGATAATATACGAAAAGTTGACAATGTATGATCTTACAATCGAAGTTAAATACAAAAATCAAAATTTTTGTAATTTACTTTTGAGTTCGCATGTATATGAATATGATGTTATAGAAATTAAAATTTTTTATATGTGAAGTATGTGTGATTCAATGTATTTGTGTTATATTGGTGTATAATTGTGTTAATTCGATTTTTAGAAAATCTTATTTATTAAATTACAATATTTGTAGGACCGTTAGTATTCAAACAATGATTAAATAAAGGCCTAATGACGGTCAAACAAAATTTAGGTTGCTACAGTAATGTGTGAATTTTATTTACCACGTGTGTAGCTTCCTTTAATCGCGCTCCGAAATATTTTCAGACTTTTTACAAACGCAACTCTAAACAACTACCGTAGTAATATCACTATTATTTTATTAAATTATTTATTAAATATGGAGTTACCAAATTCCATATTTTTTTACGAGGTCGTATTAAGAATTAGAAAAAGAACATTAAAATTTACAAATTACATGAAAAAGAATTATTGAGGAAAAAAGAATGTTTAAAATTTCAAAAAGATGCGTTAATTAGAACATCTTTTTTCATGCTCATTTCTATTCATATTTAAATTAAATCGTCTATTTTACCAAATAACCGCATATATAGTGAGGAAAATTATTTGTCATCAAATAAAATTATATAAAATTAAATGAAATCATGTAATCTGTGGGACAATATTTCAGATAATGG